ACAGTTCATCAGTCTGGAATCCACACTACGTATCTGATATTAGCACAATTGAGAAAGTCCAGAAATATTTCACAAGAAGAGTTCTCCACTCCTCTACTCGCTGTAGAATACCTTATGCCACCAGACTTGAAATTCTAGAACTAGAAAACCTTGAATTACGCCGTCTTCGGTCTGACTTAAGCATGGTATACAAAATCATACATTGCAATGTCCTACCTGTCAATGAATACTTCAGCTTCAACCATAACAACACAAGAGCACACAATAGATACAAACTCAAAGTAAACCGCACCAAACTTGATTGCAGGAAATACGACTTCAGCAATAGAGTGGTCAATGTCTGGAATACTCTACCCGACTCTGTAGTTTCTTCCCCAAACCCCAAAAACTTTAACCTTAGACTGTCTACTCTTGACCTCACCCCTTTCCTAAGAGGTCTGTAGGGGGCGTGCATAAGCGCACCAACGTGCCTACCGTCCCTGTCCTATTGTTTCTCCTATTCTTTTATTTTTCTTATATGTAACCATTTCATGTATTCACAACTATGTATACATTTATACTTATTATCTTGTAAACAATTGGCAAATCAAATAAATAAATAAAATAAATAAACACTGACTCATTCAAAGAGTTCATACAGGAATAAGGAGTGTCTTGCCTGCATCAGAAACCAGCAATTATGAGCTAAATTATTAGTTGTTACTACTTCCACCCTCTGCAAACTGAACAGTACTCATAGTATGCTATGTATTTTGTATTAAGTCCTAAGATTAGAAGTATTCTTTGGTGGCACTCCTTAACTATTGTAGTTAAGATCTATTGGTAGCACTAATCTCTTAATCATATTTTATTCAGTAAATCAATTTTTAACAGCTTCCCCTTATAATAAGGGATGGAACAGAAATTACACAACATGGTTTCCAAGCATGGAGAATTCCAATTTGTGTGCAGCAATTATATATTCCTTAGTTGCTACCTGGAAATAGCTTAGGATAGTCATCCCCGGCCTTTATGGCATAGTCATAATGGGGGAATTTACTTGTTTGATGGAGAACTACATAACCCAGCATTTTTAATTTAATGAATTGCAATTCTTAAAATGCCGACATAACCTGGCTATTGGAAGACATCAGTCTGAGGAAGATTGTGATTGTCAAAATATATCTTTAGGTGGCCCAAGCTGTGTTATCTTCTCTTATTTGTAGAACTTCATTAACTTACAGAACATTTCCTCCAAAGAAGATGACCATATTCAAAGGATGATTAGTTCTCCAACAATTTCTGGTAGACCAACAAGCACTAGTGGAGGACAGAGGTGTAATGTGGCATGCTGAATAAATTCTTCTGCTATTATTGCATTGTCAGTAACCTGAATACTTTTATGCTGTTTCTATGGTTTGGGTGGGGGGAGTTGCCCCCCTCCCAATGACTGTTGGATTTGGGAAGCTATACCAAATTGGATAAATAAAATAAAAGAGTTATTTTAGCAAAACAGGTGGTTTCTAACATGACTACAGAGAAAAACCTAGAAATATAACAACCTGCAGGCTATGTAAATATTGATAGGAAGGGAAGCTACCAGGAAGACCTGGAGAATGTTATATCGGTGGAATCCCACTCCTGGATAACCTGTCTCTTATCTGAATGCTGCCTAGTCTGTGGCTCCTCCTGCAGGACTAATATGGCTATCCTGGAAGAATCATGTGATTTTCACCACCAAGGAACCTGTACCCAGGACAGCAGCTGTTTTGCATTCATTAGGAGTCTTATCAGGGATAGAAAAGTGTAGACTAATAGTTTAATGATGAACTTACCTTCTGGGAGGGCTATCCTCTGCAAGGGATGTGAATAGTTTATTGCTTATTGACTATTTGCTAATGATCATGTGCCTTTGTTTTCCAAAAAGTGTATGAAAGCTATGCTAATTTGTGTATTGGGGGCTTTCAATTTGTGATTTAGTCCTGAGAACACATGTCTTTGTATGTTCTCAGGACTAAATAGGTTGCAATTTCCCATCATTATCTTCTTTTAATGACAGCATAATCCCTTGCATGGAGTCTGGGCAACTGAATGGAGCTGTGTTTATTGGCCGGTTGCCCTTCCTGTTGCCAATGCGGAATTATATTCAGCAGATATATTCTCATTGTGCCCAGAGAGAGAAATATCTGCCTCTACCTAGGATCGAACCCACAGCATCCCGATTGTGAGGTGAGAGTTTCACCTCTAGTCTAGGCCAGGGATCCCCAACCTTTTCGACGCCGCGGCCCGGTTCCGGCGTCAGCTGGGCGCCGCGGCCCGGTTCCGGCGTCAGCTGGGCGCCGCCATCTTTTTTTGACGAAAAATCACTTCCGGTGACGTCACCGGAAGTGATTTTTCGTCAAAAAAAATGGCGGCGCCAGCGCTTCTGGTGAGCTTTTTCGGGTAGAAATGGCTTTCTACCCGGAAAAGCTCACCCGAAGCGCTGGCGCCGCCATCTTTTTTGACGAAAAATTGCTTTTTTTACCAAAAAAAGATGGCGGCGCCCAGCAACCAGCGGCCCGGTAAGGCTTGTTCCGCGGCCCGGTACCGGTCCGCGGACCGGCGGTTGGGGACCCCTGGTCTAGGCCACCGCATCACTCAGATTGCAATTTCCCATCTTGTGTAATAATTGGCTACTTTGCACTAAGGAAAAAGAAAACCAGCTTATGGTTGAGTCAGTTCAAGGTTTGGCAAACAATTGCTCTTCCTCGCATGTCCCAAGGACATTCTCACAGACTGTTACATCCATTGAGTGGTGTGTGCATCAGAGGTGGTATTCAGCAGGTTCTGACCAGTTCTGGAGAACTGGTAGCAGAAATTTTGAGTAGTTCAGAGAACCAGCAAATACCACCTCTGACTGGCCCCACCCCCATCTATTCTCTGCCTCCCGAGTCCCAGCTGATCGGCTGGGTCTTTTGTTGCCCTGCACAGGAGAACTGAGCTGGAAAGTAGGTTAGTGGGGTGGGGAGGGAATGGGATTTTGCAGTATCCTTCCCCTACCATGCCCACCAAGCCACACTACGCCACACTACATCCACCAAGCCACACTACGCCCACCAAGCCATGCCCACAGAACCGGTAGTAAAAATATTTGAATCCCACCACTGGTGTGCATGTTATCCCTTCATAAAATCACCATCTTCTCTAGCTGAGTGGTGCAAAAATTAGTTCCTTCAAAGCACTAGGTCACTGTCACTTGTGAACAGTTGATAAAAGCCAATCTGAGAAACCTCAATGGATGCTAGAAGAAGAAAAAGAAGGGAAGGTGCTTGCCTATAAAGGGGGCTTATAAAACCACACAACTAGTAAGAATTTCACAGAATTGTGTAATGTTACTTCCTCTCTGATTGGTGCCAGTGCCAGTTATCATAAGCCCAATCATTTTGCATCATCTAAAAATTGGACTTCTTTCTTTTGAACATACCTGATCTGGCTGAGGTTAATTGAAGTCCCCCCCTCCCTTTTTATTAATAAATGAAGAACTGAAATGGAGAGATAGCATGGATTATTTTAATAGAAATATTGAACCATTGAGAATACAAAAGTCTTGGCTTCCAATGACATAACAATATAACACAGGAAAGGGCAGAGATATTAACAGTGATAGGCAGAGATTAATTTCCACTGCATTCCACTTCTAAATTAGATGGAAAATGATCTGGATGGTGCACCATAAGTAACAATAAGCATGCTGTCACCACAAAGGAGAGGGGAGGAAGGCAATTATTTTAGAGCCAATGTGCCCGGCTCTTCTGTTGACAGGATAGCTAGAATAGCCATTCAGGTTTCTCCTAACCTATCTTCTCCAATCTACTGATCTTCAGATGTGGAGTTCAGTGGCCGTATTAGTATCAACGCATCTGTAGGGCATTCGGTTTTTAGTACTGTCTGAGCTTGGTTGTTTTCGGGCAGGGGTTTCATTCCACAAACATAGTAACTTCACCAGCACTGATTATGTTATCTAGTTTGGGTAAAGAAACATCTGCAAGAAAACAACCAAGTTGAAAGAGTGCCCAAGGATCCCTAATTTCAGCCTTGAACTAAAGATATTCTTTATTGGCATTAGGTTTCTACCTTTGGAAGTAGTATAAGAGCTGACCAAGAGAAGACAGAGATTTCTGTCTAGAATTTCATCTCAAAATTATTCTTAACACAAAAAGATGTGAGAGCACAGAAGAACCACTGCTTGAAAATGCATGTCACGTACATGTTCCACAGCTGGTTTCACAAATTTCCTGGCCTGTTTGTGAAGCCTAGACGCTACTGTCCCATGTGCCTTCTCTTCCTTCCTCCTCCACTGTCTCATGATTGACAGAGCTAGAAAGCTTTTCACATGTTGGTTTTCACATGTTGGCAAGCTTTTTTTTTTTCAGCTGGCTCCAAAGGACACAAGAGACATCCTTGTATCAGCTCTTAGCTCTGGATGTCTTCCCTCCCTACATCCAGAGCACCTCAGGGGGAATCTCATATTTCTGAAATTTGACTCTCAGCTATCCACACACACTCTTGCTTAAGAGTTTTTGCTAATAGTATCTGTCAAACTGTGATTCCCATCAATCCTTAGGCAGGTTGGCTATGGGACAGACTGGTGGAAGAGATGGGAACCGTAGGCTAATACATTTGGAGGGAAAGTCCTTCTGTAGATCATGTTTATGAAGTGAGGGACGTGCAGTTATCCCATTTGAACAACACGATGGGACAGATGTGCAAAATGTTGGCATCGCCACGTGATCATCACCAGCCAAGGTGGCTGAGGCTTTCTCAAAGTAGATTGAGAAATCTGCATCCTCTTAACAGTAGATCTAGTATAGACCTCTGGAAAAAAGTATGCTGCTTAGGAGAGCTAACATTGCATTGCCGTGGCTGTCTTCTTGCGAGTTCTCACATTGTAACTGCCCTACACATTTTAATGGGCACTCTTGGTGCCAAAGAAAACTTTCTAGTGTATAATAGTCCATTAACCATAGTAATAAAATTGGAAAAGCCTTTAATTTGTAGGTCCAGCCCTCCCAGATTTTAAGACTGGCTTTGCTCTACTCGCATTCAATTGTGACATGTATTTACCTCCCTGCCATAAAGTTCTTGCCCAAACATGGCAAGGAAACCAAGGCCAACTCAACCCTGTCTCCAGGACACAGAGTCGAGTCTAACCTCCCTTCCTTTAACATTTTGGAATGCAAGGGTTTGTAGGAGACTGATCGTCTCTCCCCTGCTCTCTCCATGGCTGCAAAGCCTCCGGTATGGGGCCATAACTGCCATCATCTGTCCCCCTTGGGCCGGATGCAATGGATTCTCCATCATAGAGTTTGTCCGAAGAATGGGAATCTGCACCACCACCATAAGGACCGCCATAGGGTACATTGGGCCTAGCCTTAGGGGGTGCCTTTGAAGCTGGGACATAGGTTCCTCCCCATTCCTTAGCAGTTGGGATGTAGGGGATACCAGGTTCCTTCCATACTGGCCGTGGATGGCCATTAGGAGTGTTTTCTCTGATGGTAAAACCAGAAGGTGGCCTTTCAGGAGTGCCACCTTCATGTTGTGCAGCACCCCAAGGTTCATACGGTCTTGGTCCGCCACCCTGAGCAGGATTTCCAAAGTTAGGCCCCATTGGGTTGCCAAGCCACCAAGGTCTACTTGGCCTGCCAAACTGAAAGGGGTTGTCTTCTTGGGAATGGGGTGCAGAAGAACCTCCTCCATAATTTCCAGGTGCGGAAGGCCTGCCACCCACTATCCGAGAGTCTCCCCCTTCAATGCTGTTGCCTCCCATTCCAGGTGGTGAGACGTCTGGTTTGAGAATCCCACTTGGGAAAGAGCACCTCTCCACCCCTGGGGGCAGGGGCTGAAGGTCTTCCCCAAAGACCGTGTCAACACATCTGGAGGCTATGCCTAGAAAGAGACACAAAAAAGACAAAGTTGCTGCTGAGTCATTGGCTGAGGTTCACCATGGTACCCCCACTTCCAGCAGGTGCCATAAGAAGGCACAGAATATCTTTATTATTAATATTAATATTGGCTACAGTAAGAATTTTTCAAACCTGTGCTATCTCCCTCCCACCCCGCACCTACTCAACGTTATTATATGAACTAGGGAGGTGTTTGCCTGAGTTGCTTATGCCTGCAGTACTTTCTTCTTGTTTTGGAATTAAACCATAACAGATAACAGATAATCAGAGTTGGAAGGGACCTTATAGGTCATCTAGTCCAACCCCCCACCCAAGCAGGAGACCCTACACCATTTCTGATGAATGGCAGTCCAATCTCTTCTTGAAAGTCTCAAGTGATGGCGCTCCCACAACTTCCGAGGGCAAGCTGTTCCATTGGTTGATTGTTCTCACTGTCAGAAAGTTTCTCCTTATTTCCAGGTTGCATCTCTCCTTGTTCAGTTTCCCTCCATTATTCCTTGTCTGGCCTACAGGCACTTTAGAAAATAGCTTGATCCCTTCCTCCCTGTGGCAGCCCCTCAAATATTGGAAGACCAGTATCATGTCTCCCCTGATCCTTCTCTTCACTAGACTAGCCATGCCCAGTTCCTGTAACCATTCTTCATGTGTTTTAGTCTCCAGTCCCCTAATCATTTCCCCCTTTTTGCTTTGATAATGGATCTGGCCTATCTCTGCCAAGGTCACCTTCCTTAGTCTCTACATCTCCTCCATGTTTACCAACAACAATTGGGAGGCAAGATGGGCTGAGACTGAGAGAACATGACTGGTCCAAGCTCCCCAGGGTGTTTCTCCAAAAGGGAAGTCTAGAACCTGGATTTCCTTCTCCTAGTCCAGGGGTGTCCCAACTTCTGAGGGTCACTTTGGACAGTTCGCAAATATTTGAGGGCCAGGGGGAAAAAATCAATGTTATAAATGAGCAAATAAGATTTGCTCCTCCTCCCCTCATCTCACAGGCAAGGAAGTAACCCACCAGTCTTCTTTGTCCTGAGCCGGTTTAGATGGGGCTTTCTTTGGAGGGCGAGGGGAGATGGAGCAAGGAAGACTCCAAGGGAGCACATGGGAGGAGCTGGTAGGCCAGAAGGAACCTTCCAGAAGGCTGGATTTAACTCTCAGGCTGTAGTTTGGAGTCCAGTCCAATCCTTTCACCACACCACCCTATGGGCTCTCATATAATGCATCTCTCATAAACAGTGCCATCAAGACACCTCCATATTTTTGTTTGTTTTGCTGCTGACTGAAACCTAGAAATTGGCAAAAGTCCCTCTGTCCTTTTGCCAAAAGAATGGTGTGGAAACCGCTGTAAACCAAGAGCTCCCATCTGCCAGTGTGACAACTGTTAATGAGCTCAATCCTGCCCTTCTGCCTCAGGCACATCCCCAAAGTTTCGTTGATTATGTTTCTCCTGGTCAAGCTCCAGAAAATGTTTGAAACAGGAGCCAGGAGCCAGGAATGCCAACTCCCTACAATAGCCTGCAAAAATCGAAGCAAATGTAGGGTTCCACCTGGAATCTGCAACGGTGAAAACAAGAGGCAGATGTGGTGGATTGTGTCTGGGAAGGGAGAGGTGATGTGACAGACTAAAAATGAAGTGGCAGTTTTCCAGGAAGTGGGGAGCACATTCCAAAGGTGTGTGTGTGTGTGAGAAAAGATGCAACACAGTGCAGAGGTAGATCAGATACAGATGAAGAAATGTAGGATAGTCACTCCCTAGAAATTTTCAAGATATATCCTTAGGCTTAGAGTAGTATAGCTTTTAGTATACAGTAGTATAGCTATAATAATTCTGTCTATATATATATTCAATCATTCATTCATATCCCGCTTCCATTACTTTTACAAATAAATCAAGGCAGTCAGCATATTCAACACACCTTCTTCCTCCTATTTTCCCCATAACAACAACCCTGTGAGGTAAATTGAGCTGAAAGAGACTGACTAGCCCAAAGTCACCCAGCTGGCTTTCATGGCTAAGACGGGACTTGAACTCACAGTCTCTGGCTTTCTAGCCTGGTGCCTTAACTATATGGTGTGAACAATAATAAACTTTGGCTGGATGGTTCTATATTGTTCTTGGGTTGGGCCTGAGAACAGTTGGCTTCTCTGGCAACTTACCATCTGATACAGCTCTCAATTTTCTAGGTCTCTCCACCCATCTCCATTCTCCATTCTAGGGCATAAGCTAATTATTTGTTATGATGCTATTACATATTCTAAACTAATCAGTAAACAACTGGTAAAATGTTATGAACCTTAGTATAAATAATGTGTGTGTATATATATATATCATACAATCCAAGTTTTTATCCTTTGGTTCCTCCTCTCCCTCCTAGGCCAATCTACATGCCATTTCACAGCTTACTTCTCAGTCAACCTATTTCCTTCTTAAAGGAGATTTTAGTCAGCAGGATCTCCAGAGTGCAGTTTGTAGCTTGCTTGCCCTTGGCTGCCATGGAAACGAGAGGGGGTGAAATTTGGGGTGTGTGTGGGGGTGAGCTGGTGTGAAGTGTTCCCGTGAGAATTGGAAAGGAGGTTTGCTACCCATCAAGGGAGTGGAGTTGTTTGGACTTTTCCAAGGCCATTCGTGCTAGGCCTCTGGAGGCGCCTAGCATCTGCTGAAGAGGTTTCCCATAACATCATATTGGACGCTAATTGGTCTTTATGGGCTGGACCCTGGAAGGGGAAGGCTTTGGGGTGACTTTCAATGTGTAACTTTTGTGTGGATTTTACTCAGACCTTGCCTTGCTTCTGCTACTATCAGTTCTTTCTTAGTAAAAAAATACATTTTCTTTAAATCTATGGAGTTGCGGGTTTTCCTTTTTAAGATTTGAAAGGAAGCAAACCTGACAGCTATTCTGGATAGAAATAGAAATAATGAGAATAGAATAGAATATAGAATAGAATAGAAAATAAGGGAAGGGAAGGGAAGGGAAGGGAAGGGAAGGGAAGGGAAGAGAAGAGAAGAGAAGAGAAGAGAAGAGAAGAGAAGAGAAGAGAAGAGAAGAGAAGAGAAGAGAAGAGAAGAGAAGAGAAGAGAA